GTATCCAATTTAAAAGGTTAAAAACTAATAAAATATTAACAAATCTATTAAATAAAATCCTAATTATGTTTTCTAAGATAAGTATCTAATTTGAAAAGTATATTAAATAATATCTCTACTACGATTATATCATTTATCCCTAACTGAGAGAACTAGACCCTCACGATATGGATTGCAACTTTATTCTCCATGGAGATTGATCTTTTATGACCAAATATCAATAATGAACTATTGATAGCAACATATGACATAACTCATATAAAGGAAACTATCATTCTTATTAATTAAATACCGATAAAAAAATTCCTGAAAGTGGCAAATGGAACAATTCATCCAAAAAAAATATCAATTAATTTTACATTTCATTTATTATTGTCATTTCCTTCTTTACTTTCTCTTTTGCCCGCACATTTACCATCACCAACTACTGCCCATATACAATATGGCCTAGCACACTAGCTGGTTCAAGACCACAACGTTTGACCATAGGGTTTCAACTAGATTCTTGCCAAAGTGTTAAGGTTCCTAGTGTCCTGAGATGGTCAGGTCGGATTTGGGCAAGAAGCGGTTGCACATTTGATGTATCTAGCATTGGCTCGTGCCATACACGAGATTCTGGAGGGAGATTGGAATGTGATGGCTTTGGAGCTATTACACCTCTTCTATGCAGGCTCCAAATCACACCACGTAGCAGCCAGTAAGCAAGCTCAATCAAACCTACATTCCATATCACTGTCATACCTAGCCAAGCTAAGGATCATTATGGTAGTCGAAGTGATACATCACCTCCGCCAAGGTGTCATGTAGAGGCCAACCCTCCATGGCCGAAGCAAGATGTTATAACCCACTTCACCTATTTCAAGAGATCTTTCATACAAGATTTTCCTAGAATTGATCTATGTGATATCTCATAGAAGCCTAAATGTTCAACTAGTCAGTGTACCTTTTAGAGGTCAGATCTAGGCTTTAGTGTGTGGCCACTTTTTAAAAATATTAAATGTCACTCAACCTATGATTGTAGAGTGACACCTAGGAAAAGACATCTCGACCATCAGGATGAAGCTCTGAAAGATAAGCAACAAGGGCTCTACATCACAGCTTCGTCAAGCTGCCTATCTTTCAGAGCATCATCATTTATGCTAGGACATCGCCTCTGCATTACATCTTCATCAAGATGCCTATCTTTTAGAGCATCGTCATCTATGCTAGGACCTCGTCTCTACAGTATGTCACTTGCATAGCTGTTACATAAGGTATCAAAGTACCACTTCCACATTTTAAATCCACACATTATATAAATATACATGCCTGGAATTAAAAACTATTGTGCTGTGTTCAAGTGTAAACTAAACAAGCAACCACCTAGCTAAAGGAAGGTAAAACACTCCACATCAGCATCACTTCGACAATGGATCACCCCATAGCTTTATGATCTGCTCAATCCAAAAATTTTGCACATTATATGAATATCCTTACATGAACTTGGGAGGACTATTGTAACGCCTATTCTATGGAGGCTCCAAATCACAATCTCGTGGCAGCCAGCTAGTAAGCTCAATCAGGACTGCACTCTACATTATTGTCCTACATGACCGAGCTGAGGACAATATATAAGGGAGCCAAAGGGATGCATCACCTCTGTCGAGGTGCCATAATGAGATCGACCCTCCATGGCCTAGTCAAGGGGTTATAACTTGCTGTCGAAGTGATTTGAGTCAATTAGCCTCTTTCTTGATAGAAAATAATGTTTCTTCACTTCACTCTTCCAATAGATCTTTCATATAATATCTTTATATGATTGATGATTAATGTGACATATGTGCATTAGACACCTAAGCGGTAAACTTGCAAGTCTCAGACCTAGGCTCTAAAGTGGCTACTTTTTAGAAACATTAAATTCCACTTAGCCTATGATTGATAGAGTAACACCTAGGAAAAGATGCCTCGGTTATCAGGATGAGACCACGTTTCTATTTCATCCAACGGTGGTTATTTCTCCTATACTACTATAAAAGCTCACATTATATCATTTGAAGGTAATGCAATTTTACACTCGCAACTATAACAATGCTATCTCTCATATTTTGTTCTCTCATAATCCATCGGTGCCCGAAGACTAACGTGGCTCATGTCTTCAGATCATCCTACACCCAAATATACTTGTACAAATTAACTGACTTGAATGTCGAGTGCATGTAGCCTCCTCTTCCACCTCCAAAGAAGGCCATGTGCCATTAATGATTCATGTAAGTGTACAACAACTTATCTACATGGACATGAATGAAGTCGAGATCTGTTGGCCACCTTATTCGTGCAGAAATCGAGATGAATAGCTGCCACCCCAACAACATCACTTAATGAGAGTACCTTTGGAGATGGAGATGAGAAAGATATTTACGATGTCAACATTGTAATGGTTACAACTTGCCACTAGTTGCAACGTTAAGAGGAGTCTATAGTGGCTGCAATACAACTGGTTATATTGGAAATGTCGACATGGTTATGATCTTTTCTCAGCACCATATCGTGGCTCTCAGTTTATTATACAGTTCAATGTCATAAAACAAAGTGAAAACGGAGAGATTATTGGTAATGATTTTCTCTTTTAGTTGAATAATTTCTGACTTACACAAAGTCCTACTTATTGGAATCACAAGAAATCTAAATTAGGAAAAGAACAACTAATTAAGAAAAAGAATGACTAATTAGTTTACCTAATAAAGATACATTCCTAATTTATAATTAATGACTAATTAACGCCTAATTTACAGCTATTCAATCTTGGTAATTACAGCCAATATCTTTTTGATTTTTCAACATTCCCCTTCAAGTTGACTTGAAGATATCTTCTATAATCAACTTGCCAATTAAAACGGCAAATTGCTTCTAGTGCAACCGTTAGTAAATATATCAGCAATCTGCTCGGCAGTTGGGATGTGAGGCTACAAATTGAGCTGTCAAATTTTTCCTTGATAAGTGTTCATCCACTTCGACTTGCTTTGTTGTGTCATGATGAACCGAATTGCGGGC